GAATCTCAGTTGTTTTGGCTGTAAAATGATAGTAAGTACTTTAGAGAATTGTGAGGATTAAATGAGTACATCTGTGTCGAGCAATTAGTGTAGTCCTTGGGATATGGCAAATGCTCAATTAAGGTTGGCTAAACATATATCTGTGCATATGTGTATGCTAAATGTTCGTCAACCAGATTTTTCATTAATTCTGACTAGTCTACTCTTCCAATTCATTATTTTTAAAATGAATGTTCCAAATACATTGTTACACATTTTGGTTTGTCTTCGTTTGATTTCTTCACAGCTTGTTGTAGGTGAATGGCACACAAAGCACACTGCCTTATCAAGACTTATTATCAAACATCTGGATTGTTATAATAAATTTTAGTTCTAAACCAAAAAGCTTTAAGGATAGATTCAAATGGGGATCCAACTTAGATGCAGGAGTGGGCTGAAGGGTATGTGTCTCTGTGTAGGTAATAATTGGGCTGGAAAAATAATCAGTAGAGTTAACTAGGCAAACCGAGGGAACATAACTTTCTAAGCAGAGGCAAAAGCATGTGAATGCCCTGAGGTGAGAAAGATGTTGGACTGTTCAAAACACTAATGATCATGGGTGTGCAAGAGTGGAGCACATGAGAATGCAGAGCTGGGTAGGGACCAGCTAAACTTGTGGGCCTGGATGTTTATGTTAAGATATTTGGATTTTATTCAAGAAAAATTATTCTGGCTGCTGTGAAGATGCTGAATTAGAGAAGATCAATTGGAAATACCAGTTAAGATATAAAATTATTCTAGTTCAAGCAAGAGATGATGGTGGCTTAAATAAGGGTGGTGGCAGTGGAGAGGAAGAGGATGCATTTTATGTGCATTAGGGTAATAGAATCAACAGGACATGGTGAAGGATTAGAAGCGGGTGATGAGGAAAGAAGGTACCTCTCAGGTATCTGGGATTTGCATCAGGATGAAGGAAGTTGCCATTTATTGGCTCAACACACACAGGAATAGTAGGTTTCAGGAGAACAGTCAAGATTTCAGCTTTGGATATAAAATGTGAGATATGTATAAGACATGTGGGAAGAGAGGTCAAGTAGACCAATACGTATATACCAACACTAAGAAGGAGGGCCTGAACTAGATATGTAAATTTGGGAATTGTTAGATAAGATCACATATCAGGAGAAGATAGAGTGAAGAGAAGAGGACACAGGATTGGGCCATAAGGAAGCCCAATAATTGTAAGTGGGGAAGGGGAAGCAGTCAGCAAAAGATGGGAGGAAAGACTGACCAGCATGGTAGGAGTCCAGCCAGGACTATCACAGAGGCCAAGGGTAGAGGGTATGAATAAGAATAGAATGATTTACTATTTTGTTACTATTTTGAATCTTGCATAAGGGCTTTTAAGATGGAATGGTCAAAGGTTTAATGGTGTTAAACATACTGTATTATTGAATGAATAGTTTTTTTGTTTTTGGAATGCCAGTTCTAGGTCACAGACCCAACTTCAGTACCGTTAAGAGGAAAATGTTAGATAAATTTAACAGTTTAATTGAACAAAGACTAATTCATGAATTGGGCATCCCCTTAACCAGAATAGGTTCGGAGAGACTCAGGTGCTGCTGTGTGATACAGAATTTCTGGGGGGTGGGAGGGAAGGAAAGCGATACAGAATACAGAGCGAGGTATAGAAGCAGCTGGATTGGTTATAGCTCAACATTTGCCTTATTTGAACACTGTTTGAACAGTTGGTTGCCTGTAATTGGCTGAAACTCGGTGATTGGTAGAAGAGTAAGTTATGGTCTGTGGTCTGTTCACATATTCAGTTAGGTTATAGTACACTGTGTACAGGGAGGCCTTTAGACCAAATTTACAAGGAGGCAGCTTTAGACTAAATAGTGCTTATGTTCTAATACTCTAATTCATATCACAGAACAAAATCTAAATGTGAATTGGAAAGCCATCTCAGAGGATGTATATAGAATTTTGTAAGATTGGACAAGTACTGGCAGGGATAATTAGAAGTGGCAATGGTAAACTCACTGCTCAGCTTTCTATTTACCAAATCACAGGACCAAAAAAAGTCAGAGTTCCAAAGGGCAGCTTAGAAAGAAAACGCACTTATAAATTGGAATAACATTATGTTATTTTACTGCTCATGTAGTCCTTATTGAAGTTTTTCAATAAATGCTGGCAAGATGCATTGGCATTTGAAATGCGTATTCGTAAGTTTAGTGTCTACATATCTATCCTTGCGGCAAATCCAACATGATGAAGAGCTCTTTCCTAAATAAATCAAAGGGCTTTAATTCTAGACTCAGGAATCCCAGGAAAGTTTGATTGATGGTTCTTGTGTGGTGTATAAATTAAACAAATCATTCCATGTTAATATTCAGTTTCATGCCTTATACCCACAAAACCGTTCTCAGTTCCATGTGCAAAGGTGCATGGTCTTTCAGCTCTATTTTTCTCATGCAAGTTATAATGCTTTGTATAGTTACTGCTTAATAAATGATTACAAAATAAATGCATTAAACATTTGGGTGGCATGGATGCAAAACTCTTCACTAAATTATTTTCTGCTGACCAAAACCATTTGCAGACAATAATGTCAGATACGTATTAGAAAAATTTGAAGAATATAAGGTAAATTTTAAGGTTTTAGACGCCCAGTATCTCAAGTATATAAGCAAATAGTCCTTAATGATTTATTTTCAAACTCATTCTCTTTTTAATTACTGTATTTCATAACTTCCTTTGGTCTAGGAATTTAATACTTTTCTCAGAGTAGAGAACTGAATATTGACTTAAAAAAACTTATAAAGAACATGAATCTTTGTGAGAAAAAGATTGTAATAAAAGCAAAATGACTGTTTTTAAGATCGATAGGGTTTATGTAGAACTTCACTTCAGATTAGTTGCTTTTATTTTTGGTGTGGGGGCAAAGAAACCAAATGGCTTGATGAATGGATATCACATTTGGAGTGAGAAGATTGGGTTTTCAATTTTGCAGACTGTCGTCTTTACTATACTGGATCCTCAGCCTTCCTGGGCCTCAGTACTGTTTTACTTTCTTTGGTTTGATGTACTGCTCTATTATGAACTTCATATGAAGGATACATAAATGATTTATTTTTAGTCTTCTTTTCTAATATATGTTGTCTTAAGGCTAAATATTTTCTTCTGAGCATGACTTGAACTGCATCCCACAGGTTTTGATATGTCGTATTTATTTATTTATTTATTTATTTATTTATTTATTTATTTATTGAGAGGGAGTTTCGTGCTTGTTACCCAGGCTGGAGTGCAACGGCGCGATCTCGGCTCACTGCAACCTCCGCCTCCTGGGTTCAGGCAATTCTCCTGCCTCAGCCTCCCGAGTAGCTGGGATTACAGGCACGTGCCACCATGTCCAGCTAATTTTTTGTATCTTTAGTAGAGACGGGGTTTCACCATGTTGACCAGGATGGTCTCGATATCTTGACCTCCTGATCCACCCACCTTGGCCTCCCAAAGTACTGGGATTACAGACGTGAGCCACTGCGCCCGGCTGTCGTATTTTTATTATCGTTTAGTTAAAATTATTTTCTAAGGTCTATTGTGATTTCTTTCTTAATCCTATGGTTAATTAGAAGTCAGAATTACTTAGACGTTAGGTTATTTACTAGTTAGAGAACATTCTGATTTTAATTTTTTTTTGAATCTATTGAGACATGCTTTTATGGCCCCACATATGGCCGATTTTAGTAAATGTTCCATGTGTTCTTGAAAAGAATATATATTCTGCAATTGTTGGATACAACAGTTTTTATAAGTCAATATGATCAAGTTTGTAAATTATTTTCAAATCTTTTTATTAACTTTTTATCAGTATATTTACTATTTTGGTATGCTTGTTATGTCAATTATTGATAAAACTATATTAAAATAAGTTCTCGCTATGATTGGAAATTATCATTTGTCTTTTTATTTCTACCGATTTCTGCTTTATATGGTTTGAAGTTATGCTCTTTTAGACATTAAATTTAGAATGTCTCTATCTTACATAGTAATTGCTTTTATCATTATGAAGTGCCACTTAGAGTAAGGCTTGTATGTGTATGTCTATATTAGTTTTCTCTTAGTTACTATTTACATTTTGTATATGTGTATCCTTTCACTTTCAACCTTTCTGTAAATAGTTGTATCTACTTCACAGGGTTGTTTCAAGGGTTAAATAATAAATAATGTTCATACAATGTTTAATGTAATGTTTAGAATATATTAAATATCTATAGATAAGCATGTTTGTTTCTTCATCCAGAAAATAGAGTTCATGTTTAGTAATACATCGCTGCTTAAAATAATGCAATGTGGCTATTTATGTAACGCTTTTTGTAGATTGCAGTCTACTAGAGAAATATAAAAATTATTCTGAGGTGTAGTGACTGGTTTTCATGTGCTAGGTATTATGTCATTCAATATTTATAATAAACATATAAAGTTGGAGCTCTTATTGCACTTATTTTGCTAATGAGGCTAGGAAAGATTGCACATCTTGTCCAATGATAATGAGTAGGCAGAGATGGCAGTGTTCAAATCCAACCCTGACCAACTCCAGAACTAGGGAGTTAAATTCCCTACTCTTCTAATCTCACTAAGCAACTCTTCTCTTTCCGAATTAAGGGAAACATGCCAGCGTTGTAGAATCTTGCACAGACTGTAGAATCAAGTAGGAACTCATAATACGTGCTGTCTCACTGACATTCACATCAGTAAAATATGCTGACACAGTAGTGATAGATCAGATAGCAGTTCAACAACAGACCTTTTAATGTTGTCTTTAACTTCCAACCATGGAATTGAGGTGTAATGAGGATGAATTAACATAAACTAAGAATGAGAACAGGTTAATGATTTAATCATAAACAGAAGTTTTGACTCATAATCTAGAAACAAGCTCCCATTGCCATCTGAAGCCCCAAGATTCAGTCAAGTGTGGTTGTGGCTTAGGTCTATGCTGCACTTTTCCTTGTACTTACATGTGAGTCACTTTACTCAAATTGTAGAAGGAGTGTGATTCCAGCTGCTGCAGAGTTGCATCTATAGATAAGTAGCTGAATGTCAGAAAAATATAAGACAAAGTAGAAAGTTAGTAGGGTTGTAAACTTCAAACATACTATTTTTGACGTAACTTATTGTTATGGGTTTCCCAGATCATGAAACTTATACAACTCTCATGGATTCTGCCAATTTATGTTAAAATTACTTACTACTTTTTATTTCAGATATTATGATACCTGAATTCTTTCTGTATATCAACTCATATTTATCTTAAGTTCTCATATATACTTAATCTCATATATATTAAGTATATATATATGGATATATATACATATCGTGTCACCCTGTGGAATGTTCCACTAGAGAACTGCAATTTTCTCTTTATCTTCTTTGAAACTATGTGTCTAATTCCATGCTATTAAACATTCCATTAAAAATGCTTCGTATTCACTCTAGTGTTCTTTTCTGATGCTTGTATTTTTTGCTATTTTGAGGAACTTTTTAAACTCTTCCATTTTAAAAGAACTCATCTATTTCCTTTAAAATACACAGATATGGCTGGGCACAGTGGCTCACACCTGTAATCCTAACACTTTGGAAACCCGAAGCGGGTGGATCACAAGGTCAAGAGATCAAGACCATCCTGGCTAACATGGTGAAATCCCGTCTCTACTAAAAATACAAAAGTTAGCTGGGCATGGTGGCACACACCTGTAGTACCAGCTCCTTGGGAGGGTGAGGCAGGAGAATCACTTGAACCCAGGAGGCAGAGGTTGCAGTGAGCCAAGATCGCGCCACTGCACTCCAGCCTGGCGACAGAGCTAGACTCCATCTCAAGAAATAAATCAATAAATAAAAATAAAATACACACATGCCCAAGACCTTATCTAGGATAATTAAATCGGAGTGAAGGATGAGTCAAGTACTTTTATTTTTCAGAAGCTTCTTAGCTGATTCTAATGTGTAGCCAATGTTGAGAAACACTGGCCTATAGTTTGAATTGAATCTGCCATACATATGTATATATATGTAAACTCCTTTCACTAATTATCACAGGGCAGATTTCCATTTCTTTGGGTAATATTTATGTTGTCTCACTGATGTAAGTTCTCTGAAATGAAGAACTGTATCTGTTTTTGGCCACTGAAACTTGAGTGCCTTTCAGAGTACTTGACATGTAGTAGACTCTTATTAAATGACTGAATGAATAGAAGAGTTTCTCAAAATAGCAGAAAAACACAAGCATCAGAAAAGAACACTAGAGTGAATGAGAAGCATTTTTAATGGAATGTTTAATAGCGTGGAATTAGACATGTAGTTTCAAAGAAGATGAAGAGAAAACCACAATTCTCTAGTGGAACATTCCACAGGGTGACTACATATTCTCTTAAGACTTCTTTTCTCTTCTTGATTTTAAATGAAGCTGAAAATTCAAGCTCTGTCTTAAACTTTGTAAGCAAAAAATGTAATTCAAATAAAAGCTTCAAGTACTGAAAAAGGAAAACAGAGACGTTCCTAAATATAATTTATCAAGAACATATAAGGAATGTTTCAAATAGTTTCCTCAAATTCCATCTTGTAATGAGAATGACTAATGCAACCAAATTCAATGACCACTTTTTGTTGAGAGGTATTTCTGTGACATTTGGGAAAATCAATAATTGACAGATGGTTTCCAGCCATAGCAATAGCAAAAATTCTCAACCCTAGTCATGCAATTAAACTACCTGAAGGGTTTTTAAAATACACAAATGTCTAAGACCTGGTTTAGGATAACCGAATCAGAGTTTATGAGGGATGAGTCAACTACTTTTGTTTTTCAAAAGCTTCTTAGCTGATTCTAATGTGGAGGCAATGTTGAGAACCACTGGCCTATAGTTTGAATTGAATCTGCGAGTAGAATGTCATCATCGATGCAATGTTTATAAGAGGAGCTCTGATTGTTCCATTCTGAGTTTTTATCTTGGTTATTGCAAGTATTCTAATGGCCCTGTACTTTCTATTTTGAATTACCTATTCTTTATACAATTATCCTTTCATTTACCCAGTCGCTTAACTTTTTGGATAACATTATATAAATTGTTTTGATACAAATATATTTCTAACATAAAACAATGGCACAGATAGAAAAGAATTAATTTATTGTATGGAGACTGTGGGGATTTATCATGGATGAAACTGAACCAGCTATCAGAGCAAGATTTATTTTTGAAGGCCGCCAACTTGTTTCCCTAAGCATCTTTTCCATTGCTCCAAATCTTCTACTGAATTTCTCAGTTAAGAAGTATGAGTCTTTCTCAAAGTTCCAGAAGGATCATCACTCAACCCATATTATCAAATGTAAGTTCCAGTTTCTCCAACATAATGACACCTCTTTTAAGGGCTGCGTAGCTTGGTTGTGAAGATAACTAGTAGAAATTGTCTATTCAGTGAGATAAAAATTGTGATTTCCTGCTTACTTATCCCATTTTTATAACTAGGAAAAAATCAGATCTTAGTTCTTTTTTGCATGTAAATATCATCATCGTTACAGGCACCATAGGACTTATTTCAAACTGGGATATTTTTGTGAGTTAAAGCAAGGCTCTATTAACAATTATGCCAGAATACCAAGTGGGAATTTGAACCATCCCAGACAAACCTAGCATCATCTTATTTATCTCTTTTTCCCAAGATATATCAAATCTTTAATTATTATTCAGGTATGTGTATGTGCTTTTATTCCACAAATACGTATTGAGCATTCATTGTATGACAGACATCATTCTGGATAATGACAAAACAGATCTGTTCCCCAGCTTCAAGGAACTCACAGTACCTCAGAGATGTAGATTAACACACAAGGTAAATGGGATTAACACAAGCTGTTAATACAAAATGTCTTCTATAGCTCAGTCAACCTCACAGAGGTTCAGTTTTATTCCTAAGAGAGCAATGAGTGTCATGATGGGGTCAGTTACTGGGTGATGTGAAAACTCACATAAGACATCCAGGATAATTCTGTTGTGGGACTGTCCTATGAACTGTAGAATGCTTAGCAGCAACCTTCACTTTCACCCACTAGGTGCCAGTAGCAACCCCCTCTCCAGTGATGACAACCAAAAATGCTAAATGCTTCTAGGGGTAGAATTGCCTGTGGTTGAGAACCACTGAAATGACAGAAACACTCAAAAAATGGCCACAGAATGAGTATATTTAGCCAAAAGCTGTACAGGTTGCTCCTGGTTATGTTATTTCGCATGCCTGAATTATCTGGATTGCCAGATCCAGAATCAATGAAATGAAATAAATCAATGTCAAAATCAGTGAAATGAAATAAAGATCGACTTCATTTCATTCACTCTTTGTGAACCCAGTACGGAAAAGTCCCTTTTCTCCTCACTCTGAGTGGATAGCAATTCAATTTTTAATTCTCTTTTTTTTTTTTTTGAGACGGAGTTTCGCTCTTGTTACCCAGGCTGGAGTGCAATGGCGCGATGTTGGCTCACTGCAACCTCCGCCTCCTGGGTTCAGGCAATTCTTCTGCCTCAGCCTCCTGAACAGCTGGGATTACAGGCACGCACCACCATGCCCAGCTAATTTTTTGTATTTTTAGTAGAGACGGGGTTTCACCATGTTGACCAGGATGGTCTTGATCTCTTGACCTCGTGATCCACCCGCCTCAGCCTCCCAAAGTGCCGGGATTACAGGCGTGAGCCACCGCGCCCGGCCTAATTCTCTTTTAACGTGAGAGAGATCTGAAACCACTGGCTACATTTATAACAAAATGTAAGTATTTTTATTAGTAGTGAAAGATGATTCGAAAATTGGTGACTAGGACAGATAGATGTTTGTCTATCTGTATGTATGTTTATCTTGTAAACGATGGGATGTTTATAGGAGAGATTTACAGCTAAGGTTTTGCCACATCCCAAGATAAAATACATCAAGAATTATGAACTTCTCAAAACCAAATGAATTTAAATTTGATTTAGGTTTTAAAAAATCATTTAGGCATTAGGGAGTAGAGATATAGCAAAATCAACTAAAATTATGTACACAAAATTGTCATAGGTGTTGAAAATGTAACTGCCATTGATTTATGCAAGTATAATACCAAGTATTTTTCTTGATAGAACACAGTTAGAGAATAACATATCACAAATGCAAACTTCAAACTTCTCTTTATAGTAAAAAAACACTTACATTCTGGAAATATTGGGCAGATTAGAAAATGCACAACTTGGAATGGTTCTCAGGTGAGTCTCAATAAGCCTCCTGTGAAAATAACAGTTACACAATTAGAGTTTTAATCATTGGGCTTTTCTAAGAATTCACCTTAACTATAAAATCACATTAAAAAGCATGACAGTTTTACAATATATGTTTCCTTACACATAGCCAACAAAAATAAGATTCAACAAACATAGCAAAGAACCATACATACACTTTTTCCCAATAAGAATTGAGTGTGAGAGTCAGCTGCAGAAAATAGATCATCAAACTTCATCTATGAATTAGCAGTAAACTAATATGTCTTGCCTCGAATCACACTTTGTTAACTGAGGGGCAACATTTTTTTTGGTCTTTTTATTACATTTTAAAAATGTCTTGTTTTTTACCTTTTAGGTTTGGGGGTACATGTGCAGGTTTGTTACGTAGGTAAACTCGTGTCACAGGGTTTTTTTGTACTGAGCATCACCCAGGTACTAAGCCTAGTACCCAAGAGTATTTTTTTCTGCTTCTTTCCCTCCTCCCACACTCCACCTTCAAATAGGCCCCAGTGTCTGTCTGTTCTCTTTGTGTTCCTGAGTTCTCATCACTTAGCTCTCACTTATAAGCTAGAACTTGTGGTATTTGGTTTTCTGTTCCTCAGTTTGCTGAGGATAATGGCTTCCAGCTCTACCCAAGTCCCTGCAAAGGACATAATCTTGTTCTTTTTTTATGACTGCATAATACTCCATGGTGTATATATACCACATTTTCTTTATCCAATCTGTCACTGATGGACATTTAGGTTGATTCCATGTTTTTGCTATTGTGAATAGTGCTGCAATGAACATTCGTGTGTACAGCATAATATATTCATAAGTATATTAAGACTTCTGAATTCATAGCATGTACTTGTCAATGGAAATGTCTTGGAATGCTATCAGAATATGCATTAATATACATATTAAAAAGAATTAACTGCATGTTTTAAGTTTCAAGGATTAAAAACTGTGGCATGGTTACTATCTTCTTGCACAAGCAAAAGTCTCTTCAATCATATCTTGATCTTATTATCTACCTGCTGCAGTCTGGAAATAACTGACTGACAAGGAGCAAATTCTTCCTCAGAATCTTAAGACAGCTTAATTGGATTTGCACCTGAAAGGTGTGGCTTTTCCCCCAGTCTGCTTTTTTGGATACTCTTCAGAAGGTGGAGACTGTTCTCATACATAATGAAACACCTTCATGCATTCCAGTATGCCTCTCCACCTAAGCATTCCATTTTTTGAGCTTCTCTTCTTTACTATAGTTATTACTTGATAATCTTGTATGGAAAACAGTGTGCATAGTATATTAACTTGGTAAAAAGACAATGCTTCAGCATGCTACTCAGCTTCTCCATGTGTCTGTTTTTGCCATTTAATCACACTGGTAATCACACATTATCCATTTAGTACCTCATTTATAGATATTAGAATAACACTGTTTATTTTTTCTTCTCTAAGCTAAGGGGTTCTCAACAATCCATTTCCTTGGTCTATGCTTTCTTTGAACTATTTATTTTTACAACGATTAAAATATATCTGTAACTTGCCTTATCAAAGCATCAGTGAGACCAATTTAGTTTGTAAAAGGACCTATTAAAATGGAGCTGGGGGGAGATGATGTGAATGACAAAAGAATAAATCTTCAGCTCTTTTCAACCTCTGGTGTTTCTCCATGAAGACCAATGTTGCCTTAATATGTTTCACAAATTCAGGTCCCATAAATTACTTGTTCTCCTTTGAGGGTCTCGCACTTATATTTCCTTAATTGGATTGACTGGATTCTGAAGCTAAAATATAGGAGAACAAGTTGTTCTACCAAAATCTCTGTGTAAAATTGGGCCATGCTGAGGGAAAACAAAAGATCCACACCTGTTGAGTATCACCCAAGGCGATTGAGTTTAAGCCCAAAGATAGTCTTACTTATAGAGCTGTCCTAAGGCAAACATTTTGTGAGCGTATTTGTGGTAAGATTGTAGGTAATATAGGTCTAAACTATAACTTTTTTTTTGTTCTTGCTTCCTGTTCCTGCAGATTTGTTTTTTAACTATAACTTTCACTGACTAAAATTTTTGAGGTTAGCCTGTGTTCAAAAGTAAATAACGTATATAAAATTAAATAGGAAACCAGAATAAGATTACAATAGTTTCTAAGAAATTGACTTGGAACAGAAATAGCATCTGAGTGCAATTTAGTAGCCTTTGGGCTAAAGGTTCAAACAATGTTTATATTCTTTCCCAAAGTATGAGTTTCTGAAATATATAATATCTGTTTCTTGAATTATCTCTCTCTTTCACATACATACACTGTAAGTCTAAGCAAAGATCTTTTTCCTACTACTGAGTTAGTTGTGGCAGAAGGTGTTTTCAAAGGCAAAACTATTTGAAATGCTAAGATTTTGCTTGATTCCACAAACAAGATATTTTTCCCAGACAGATTTCTTTCCAAAGCTCATATATATATATATATACACACACACACACAACAATAAGGATATGTGTCTCAGAGCAGCTGTCTTAGTAATAATATAATATGCACAGTAAATCAAACAAAATTAAAGTTGAGGGTGCTAGCAATCCTAGCCTGAGATAAAAATAAGTTGTCTCTTTGTTGAATGAATTCTGTTAATATCATGATTATAACATACCCTGGGACAAAATACTGATTTCAATAATGTTAAATGAAGTATTAGAATGGGAACTAGTTGTATAGATTGCCAAATTCTATCTCAGTTTAACAGTTCCTACAGTTTGCCTAGATATTTTCATAGTAATGGGCACATAATCTAAAAAAAAAGGACACAATTGAGTTTGTATACATTTTGTTTACCTTTGGTATGAACTGTTTTTGTTGCCTCTCTAAAATTCACCACGTTAGCTTAAGCTCTCCTTTAATTTCTTTCCTATCTTTTAAAATGTGATTTGTTTTATGTGACAAATCACATTATGATTTGAAAACATTAAAAGGAGTTTTCTTCTAAGGCATCTATTTCCCTTCAAATAAAGAACAAAAATAATTAGTGAGGGCATGGCTTCTAGGAAATTAACTAAAGATACCATATTTATTTAGAGAGCATTAGCTTCATTTTTCCCTAATAGTTCAACCTTACAATAAGGGTTGTGGGGAATAAATTTATTGTGATATGTGGATGCCTCCTGACCCCCAGATACATGTGCTACTGCATTCATGTAACCTTTGTGGAGGTTTTGAGGTTGTTTTGATTTGCAGCTAGAGTTAATTTATAGAATATTTGTCATCAATCTGTTTTTATCCCTCCATCTAGGGGCAAGCAGCTGGATATTCTATTATCTACCTTTTCAAGAGAAGACCTTTTATTCAAAGAATCTTGTGATATTGTGATTAGTGCTTTAAATGCAAATGAAAGAAAAAAGACCAAGTGAATGTTTTTATTTTATCAAAATACTTTATTTTAATTTGAAAATACATTTTGAATATTTATGGAAAAGGGAAAGTACACATTCAAGTATATATTCTTTTGACAAAAATATTAGAAAATCTTTAAGTTGCTTGACTAAAACTAAATGCTTTTAACAGTACCCAAGTCACATCAGATAGCCTAAATCATCTCTCTCAAGTTCGAAGTTCCACAAGTCTCTAGAGCAGGGGCAAAGTGCTGCCAGTCTCTTTGCTAAAACATAACAAGAGTTGCCTTTGCTCCAGTTCCCAACAAGTTCCTCATTTCCATCTGAGACCACCTCAGTCTAGATTTTATTATCCATAGCATTATCAGCATTTTGGTATAGATGCTGGATATTAGACCTTTGTTGGATACATAATTTGCAAAAGTTTTCTCCCATTTTATAGGTTGTCTGTTTACTCTGTTGATAGTTATTTTTGCTGTGCAGAAGCTCTTTATTTAGATCTCATTTATCATTGACCAAAATGTTACATGGAACATGACTGTATTTCTTTGCTATTGAGTTGTTTGGGTTTATTTTGTATTCTGTATATTAACCCTCTATCAGATGTATACTTTGCAAATATTTTCTCCCATTCTATATGTCGTCTCTTCAGTTTGTTAATTGTTGACTTTGCTGTGCAGAAGTTTTTAGTTTGATGTAATCCATTTGTCTCTTTTTTCTTTTGTTGTCTATGCTTTTCAGATTTTGCAAAAAAAATTTGCCTGAGCCAATGTCATGAAGAAATTTCTTTATGATTTATTCTAGTAATTTTATCATTTGGGTTGATTTAAGCTTTTAGTCAATATTGAGTTGATTTTTGTAAATGATGAGAGATAGTGTCTAGTTTGATTCTTCTGCATGTGGCTATCCAGTTTTCCCAGCACCGTTTTTTGAAGAAACTATTCTTTCCCTGTTGTGTGTTCATGGCATGTTTGTTGAAAAGCAATTGGCTTTAAGTGCCTAGATTTATGTCTATTTTAATGTTAGTATCAGGCTGTTTTGATTACTATAGCTTTGTAGTTTATCTTGGAGTCAGCTAGTGTGATGCCTTCAGCTTTGTTCTTTTTACTCAGAATTGTTTTGGCTATTCAGGATGTTTTGTGGTTCCATATGAATAGGATTGTTTTTTCTATTTCTTTGAAAAATGCCATTGGAATTTGATAAGGATTTCATTGAATCTGTAGATCCTTTAGGGGTAGTATGGACATTTTAATATCAATTCTTCTAATCAATAAACTCAAAATATCTTTATCTATTTTTTGTGTCCTCTTCATTTTCATCATCAACATTTTATAATTTCCATTGTAGAATTTTTCCACCTTCTTTGTTAAATTTATTCCTAAGTATCTTTTTTCTTGTAACGATTGTATATGGGATTGCTTTTTTGGTTTATTTTTCAGATAGTTTGTCATTGGCACATAGAAGTGCTACTGATTTGTGTATGTTGATTTTGTATCCTGCAGATTTACTAAATTTATTAGCTTTAATAACTTTGTGGTGGATTCTTTAGGGTTTTTTTTATATTTAAGATTATATTATATGAAAACAGGGACAGTTTGATTTCCTTATTTTCCATTTAGATATCCTTTATTTCTTTCTC